TTTATGGCCTAAGTGGATTAGTTTGAACTTGTTTTAAGGTTTCCATTCGATTCGTTTTTAAGCTCCGCTTTAAGCCATTTTTTTAATGCATTTGCCTTTAATTCTCTGGGCACTAGAAAACGAGCTCTTTTTTAGTCAGCCCGAAGATAGTTTCAAAGTCTTTGGACAACGGCTGTCGTTGTCGTTGTCGAATGTTTTCGGGGCTTGTGAATGTTGTCGCCATAGCTGTTACGCGAGAGTCTTGTCTTGTAAATGACTAAGCGGCGCTCCAAAGAGACCCAGTTACAGCTGTGCGTCTGTCTGTCTGTCTGAGTGTAATACGAGTATCTGCAACACTCTGAGAAAAAAGACGTTAAGAGATCTAAAATGAAAGAAACAGATTTTCTTCTTGAATTGAGTAATTTTAATTCAAAATAACTCGCTTAAGCTGTCTAGCCTTAAATAATTACAAGCAAACGAAAAGATATAGATACCAAATATGGGGAGGGCCTCCTGTGTGCCTGTGTGTTCTATGCGAAGCCTTAACTCGTTGAAAATTACAAACGCCAAGGAAAGAAAAAATACAGGAAAGCGCACAATAAAGCCTAGGACATATACCTAACAAGTAGGACAGCAACTTGTAGGACAAGAACTGAAAGACTAGAATCATGATTTAGTAGGCACAGCATGATTTAAAATAGAATTTCATTTGAGTTGGGACACGTTCTCGAAATAATATTTGTGCTGTAAGGTTAGCTTATGTTGACCTTCCTTCGATTTTGGCAAAATTTGCACTTGCTATTTTCTCTAAGTGCATTTTGTTGCAAATGCTGCGAACGGATATGCACAAGATGCGAAACGTGCTTTCCCAATAACGTCAGACAGACAATGACAAAATAAAGCCAAGAAACGATGCGAACCAACTTGGTTGCATTTATTGTTGTTGTTGTTGTTGTTGTGGCCTGTGCTAAAAACTGCAGCCAAAAAATAAATAAAAATATTTAAAGAAAACTGTCAAGATTTGCATTTATCGCTGTTGCCGCTAAGAAAATGCGCATGCGATAAAGTTTCTGTAGTCGTCTCGTCGGTATCTGGTATCTAGTGGCTGGTATCTCACAAATGCAAATACAGATACAGATACAAAAACACGTGCGTATATATATAGATATGCATGTCTGACACTTGCATAATTTGCATTTCGGGCAAATGTGGGGTTTTGAAAAAAGAAGAGGAACCGCTTATCTTGACAAAATTAAAAAGCCAAGCGCTGCAAATGAAATGAATAAAATAAAAACCAGAATTCTTTGCTGACAATTGTTCGTTGTTTCCGCTCAAATTGCATAAAAATAATTATGCGTTTAGAGATTTTAATTGACACACCACAGAAAGGAATCAAATACCAAATTCATATTGGCGAAATTCTGCGAAATTTTCATGATTGGGTTCGGTCTATTCGGGTTTTTGGTTTTTACCATTTGGCCATGTTTTTGTATTTGTAATTGGCATTTGTTGTGTATTAATTAAATTAGTTGGCGTTTTGTGGTTTCAGCTGCCCAGCTCTGAACCGACTCCCGCATCGGAACAATCGGATTAAATAGAAATGTGGGTTTTTTTGTGCTTTTGCAGATAGCAAAAATGTTCAACACACAAATACGGGCTTTTATTTATTTATTTCTCTTTAAATATTTGCTTTTTGTCGGCTTTGTGTAATTTTGCCATATGCTAAATAAATTAAAATTGCAATTTATTGTCGAGATATTGTGTGCGTGCGTGTGGGTGAATGTGATAAAAAAATGTACATTTACTGCGAGCTAAAAAACAAACAAAGTTAAATAACATTTAAATTGATATTCTGATATTTATGGAAACTAAAATTGATGACAAGTTTATTGAACTTTTAATTTCGAACAGTTCGAACAGCTGATTACATTTAATATTCGATATGCGTAAAAAAAAGTGAAAAAGAATGAAATAATTAAATTATAAATCTGAATGTGCATACATTAGGTTTATTAAATCAACTTATTGCTGCTTTTTGACATTATCTGGCAGCAAGCAAAATACACTGGGAAAAATCATATAAAGTACAAACGAGAACTTCTAGTTATTTCCTCATTTGTTGCAGTTTGAGCGGATACGTTTTTTTTTTTTTTGCCTCCAATCTTGCATTTACACACGCACACACAAAAAACAGATATATGCCATTAGCAACTATGCTTATAATAGCCTCTACACACACACACACAGACACACAAACACGCACACACATATACACAATCATTTCTATGGCAATAAATCCATCTTTTTTATACGGTTTACAATTCAATTTAAATGTAATTTCCCCTTTGCGAAATTGCAAAATTTCAACAGAATATTTGCTAGGGGTGAGGTGTCAGCCAGTCAGTCAGTCAATCGGACAGTCCGTCAGTCACACAGATAGTCAAATGTCGCAGACACGCCTCATGCTAGCAGCAGTCATGTAAATAATAGTGTACATCATAATTTTTCATTTGGCGCGGTAGAAAATCGTTTTACACTTTCGACATAAATTGACGAAATAAATCATGTTGGCAACACGTGATTGGGGATTTAGGGCGGGGTGGCAACGCCACACCTGAGTGCGCACGGCCGGAAAACGAGCACGAGAAATTGCAGAGAAAATAAAATTGTGTGTGGAGTTAGGCAAACGTAAGGGATATGTATCATGTAGAGCCCACTTTTCGTATACCCTAACATTATCAATAAACATTTAAGAACATGAATGTATTCCTAATAGCTAATAATTGTTTTCTCAAGCATTATTCAGAGGAATAATATATATATATATATATATATATATATTAAGAAATATTAAGTTGGCTTAACAATTTTCATTATATATATATATAGCTAGATAGAGCTTACACACTTCGTTGCAGCGCGTTTGTATCTTACTTAATAATTGATGTGCTGTGCATTGTATTTTCATTTCGCGTTTATTATTTCGGACGCACAATGCGGCGTATGCGCAATGTTTGTGCATTTTTGCTTAACGTGTGCTTAAAATATTTTTGCCGTTGCGTAAAAGACAACCATTCTGTTTAATATTTATAATTTCATTAAATGTCCGTCCGTCCGTCTGTCGGTCTCACTGTCGACTCTAGCATTTTAGCCATGTCGGCTCTTTGCCATTTAAGTGCATTGTCAATTATATACATTTTCATAAAAGGCCACGACCGGGTCGTCTGATTGAATTGTGGCCTCCGATAGCATGAGCATGTACCTATAACTGATAAATGTGATGAATGTGATATTCATTTTCATTAGCAATTACAAAATTGCATTTTAAGTGTAATTCATTTTTGATGTACGACCAATGCTTGAACTGATTATTGAATTGTGGAGCTTTGTCTCCCACTGGAACGAGGGGTATTAAATGCGCATTAGGCTTCTCTGCACCCCATCGGGTAGTCTGGGTATTTCCGCTGTCCGCTCCTCCCCTGGCTGGCCGGGGGGCAGTCACTTATCGACCACATTAGCCTAATGATTTCGTCAAGTTTCTCAGTTCCATTGTCAGCACTTAAATGCAGGCTTCATTTGGTTAATTGCATGGCAAACGTTGTCATGATTAATGTTAATGCCAATGTGACTGCCCTTTGGGGCCTACACACAACTTCTGGCAGTCGAATATATTCGTGTATAGATCCCGAAATTAAAACCTGTTTCTAATTCATTTGATTCTTTTTTTGTTTGCCTTTGAGCTGTTTTGTAATTTGATTCCCCGTTCGCAAAGTCAATTTCATTAATTGGAATTGTGCATTGAGCTGTTGAAAATTGATAGGCTGATTCAGGTAATCAATTTCACATCATTCAATTAATCTAGCATAATTAAAGTGTAGCCCGGGCCGAGCTATATTTCCTGTATCAAATTGACATGCTATTGTAACTGGACACTCGCTGAAAATGCTGTTCGAAATTCTAGTATGTCTGGCCCAAAATTAATGCCGTGTTGTTCATTAAATCTCGATAAATTTTGTGCTGAAATGTTCTTCAATTAGTCATAAATCAACTGACCAAAACTCAGAATTAATAATCAAATAATTATTGCTAGAAGTTAAGTGTAGTACGTTCTTTATCGCAGTACACAATTTCCCAATCAATCTAGTCTTTTATATCAAGTATTTTGGACTGTCGTGCTAGGCAATAATAAAAGTTCTTAAAAAACTAGAGCTTCACTTGCTAAATTTTGAAAATTTTGGAATTTAACAAGAATTCCATTTACAGTGGGCCTAAGGTACTTTTCTCAAATGCTCGATTTGAAACTTTTCTTCAACTTTTTCCAGTTTAAGCATGTTCCAAGGATGTTGAAACGTTTGCTTTTCACTCTGAAGCTGGGCGAGATTAACGGAAGGCGTTTCGCTACCAACGATTGCCATTGCCGCCCATTTGGGCCGTAAGTGGAGCAAGGCTTCTCTCGTTTCGCAATCTTGGCAAGCTAACTCTTACCCACTACCCCCCACACCCACTACTCCCGGCACCCGCTCCCCGCTGGCAATCGTCAATTGCCCATTTGCATGACCCACTTGCGCTGAGAATTATAAAGCAAAAGGCGTGCTTATGTATGCATAAACCCGAACAGTTGCCGTTTTAGCACCGAGCAGCGAGCAGCGAGCACCTCGAGGTGCTGTCTCTATCGGGGCATTACGTATACGCCGCCTTGGCTGCCTCACATGCCACAGCACTGACGCTGACGCTGACGTTAACTTGGACGTTACCGTTGACGTTGCGATTGTCGCCTCTATTTATAGACGCCTTTTAATGAGCAAACTACTTCCGACAGACGCACATTTGAACTTTAAAAAACACAAACACACACACATAATAATCAGCTGGCAATTAGCAATTGCAATTCACATGGCAAGGCCTATGAAACACAATCAACAAATAATATTTGACTAGCAATTAACGATTTAACGCTCGACTTCGTAGTTGGCTTGATTATGCAATCCTTGAATATATGTTTATGGGGCATATATATTTACCCAATTAATTTAGTTGGAACTTGCTGAAAATGTTTTGCGCTAATTTGCGCAAATTCACGACGCGTTTAGGCCAAATAAAAACGAAAAACTAATTTGCAAAGCTCGCAAACTGTGCATCCCAATGTCAATGACAGCGCACGAGGCGCACAAGAACTGCACAAATCAGAAAGCTTTCAGAGATATGAAACCCTCTCCCACCGCCAACACAATCATTAGGATCATCATTCAATGTTACCTGATGGCTCTCTGCAGTTGTGTGTGTGTGTGTGCGTGTGTGTATTTGTGTCTGTGTGGCATTGTAAAAAGTATCTTTGTAGCTGACAATCAATAATATGCATTGTGAATTGCAGGTCACTGTGAGCTGCTTTTATACTCTTACAGAGTGTTATACGTTTGTCCTGAAATGTTTGTCCTCCGACTTAATAAAGTCTGTATAGGAGTACATACAGTAGCCGCAGATCAGTAGCCGAATCGTAGCACTATATCGCTGCATATCTTGACCTTAGCATTTATGAGCTTCACTATGACCCCTATATATATCATAACATAAGGTTTTTATAGGCACAATCGAAGGAACATGTCCACATGTCGAAAAGGGCATTTAATCTTCGGCTTGTGAAAATAGAAGTTGCTTCTCTTTTATCCATTTTCCTTTATTTGTTTTTTTTGTATAATTTTTTGTTGCACTTTTAGTGCAATTTTCTGGCAACGCTTTTTTCTTTTTCATTCATTGCATTTGGCAAGCAACTGCCAATAAGTTGGCCATAGGCTATTGGCCATAGCTTATAGTCTGGGCATCTTCGCTTCTACATAGCATTTAATTGCACGTTTTGGCCAGCAACAACCTCAGCTACAACAGCAGCAACGACATCAACAGCAACAACAACAACAATGGGCATGCTAAACACAAAGTAGCTAACTGAAGGCAAGTTTTTTGCGGCTTTGGCTCCTCGTCGACTTTTGGCCAGCTTTGCCTTCTCTTGAGAGAATGTTTATATTGTAGAAAACCTGAAGCATGCTTTTGGATCAACTAAGCGAAGCCGACTATAATGAGTTTATGATGTTGTTATGCCATATATATGTATGTCTATATATATATATAACTATATTTCCTAACTGACTGATTGATTGATTGACTTAACTGATGATGAACGCAAAGCTTAAGTCGTAAGAGTCAAGCATTGCAATTTTCGTATATACATTTTATATTGTGAGTAAATTTCACGCGCAAGTGTGGAAAATGAGTGGAACACGATGGACATGTAATTTCCTTTACAACGCTTAACGTCCGATAGGCATTTCTTAGATCTTTTTAAATATTCTGTGAAGACGTGCCTTACACATTTTGACAAATCCAACTAACCGCGTGGAAAATGGGTGAAATATGACAATTATTTAATTTACTATAGTAAAAGAATTTGATCTGGTAATACTGCTTTACTTTTTAATATGGGCATAATTTCAAATTGAAAAACATCAAAAATCTTTATATCACAAATGGGAATCACAATATCTAGTAAAAATATATCTAAAGCGCGAACAGTTCGTGGATAAGCTCGATTGTTATGTTTGCTTTTCACGAGATCTACATCTAGTAAATACTCTTGTATTTGGGCTTTACCTTTGTTTATTTGATTGTTTCTCTGTTTTGGTAATTTCTCGCTCTTTTTGCGTTTGTATTGTTGTTGTTTTTTGTTGGCATACTTGTAGATACTATTTACTTGGCTGACCTTTAGTCTTAATTTGGTTTGCCCTTTTGGGGCGACCTGTGTTGCCCGTTGTAGTTGTTGTTGTTGTTGTTGGTGGTGTTGTTGGTATTGTCTGGCTGCTTATTTGCGGCATTTTCTCGGTTTCTCTTAGCGCTCACGCTCAAATTGGCCAAAATGTGGCGTTCCTCCCCCCCGACAGCAACAAGCAACCAATTCCGAGCATGCTAATTAGCTGGTTCGCAAAGCTTTTGCCTTTATTTCCCATGCGTCCATTATAATAATATTTCGCTGTATGTTTTCGCCAGGTTTAATTAATGATTTGCTAAGCTGGCGACTCGCTCGCTTGTCTCACACACAGCCGGCTGGCAACGGGGGTTAATTGTGTGTCAGGGGCATTAAAAATTTCCGCCCCGCCCAGACCAGACCAGAGCACCGTCCCCTTGCCGATGGCCATGTCCAACTGTGGTCATGCTGCTGCTGCTTCTTCTTCTGCCTGCTGTTGATGTGGCCCGCATATGTTGCCAACACGTGGCGGGAGCAACAAGAACAACGTCCGTTGCGAAGCGGATTTGCTGGTGCCAGGGGATAGGAAGAAGGGGAGATAGCTCCCAATGAGCTCCCATGTTGCACATTGGACGCTTGTTTCTTGCTGTTTTTGCTTTCAGTTCCGCTGCATCGAGTCGTTGCACACACAAGCATACACTCGCGAAAATTGTGCACGCATTTGCAATATTTATTACCTCTACCCAGTATTTGATATAATTTACATACCCTAACATTTGTACATATTGCTTCTGCATTCAAGACGTTACGTTCATTATCGATTTCGATAATCGATAACTTTCCTCCTTAGCATGAAATCGATAGGAATCGATATCAAAATTTGGATACTGGACGCGAATTAAATGCATTTCTTAATCGTATTTATTTCTTTTGGTAAGCATATTTGCGCTTCGTTGTCATTCGAATTTGAAATTAGTTTTTATTTTTTAACTTCCATGTGCATTTACATGTGACCGATTGGGGCTTATGAATATAAATTGTTAGTTAATTAAATGCAACATCAGCAACATGAGCAGCAGCAACAACGACAACAACAACAACAACAACAATGATAATATTGTTGAATGATTGTCTGCGCTTTAATACCGGAAATTGATTAAAAGCTCATTTCATTTGCTGGCCATTCGTTTATGTTGTTGTTATTGTTGTTGCTGCTTTAGCCCCTACTCGCTGTCATAATTGCCATTTGAAATGATTATGGGCCTAATACAAACACACACTCACAAGCACACACACACATGCACACGCACACACTGTATAATTGTAATTTCAGTTGCATTCGTTGCATGTTGTAAAGGAAATGTCTCTAACATGGATATGGATTGTTATTGCTATTTACTATTCTCAGCATTGTTGCTGCTGTTTTTGTAATTGACTCGGGTGTTAGTCTGGCTTGTTAATAGCAAATCCAGGCATAGCATAACAACTAACTAATACACAATTTCCTTTCATCCAATTACTTGGGCTAAAGCATGCGAATGCCTCGGCTAATCGCAAAGAGCTCTAAATCTGGGCTATTGTGTTGTTGGCCTTGTTATTAAATTGAGAGATACACGAGAGCTATTTATAGCAGCTTGAAGGTACATATGTGACTCGTTGCTTGTTTGTCTCCAAAAACATAGGCCATGTCATAACTAACATGAACTTCAAACTGGCTGTCAAGCTGGCCAACATGCCGTTGCCTCACCCAGTCTAATGTCTGCCCACAATTTGCGTCTGTTACAATTTTCCTCATCTTTCTCGTTGCTGTTTGCCATAATTTTATTGGCAATTTCAGACGGCGAGAAAGTTGGCCAACTCTGGCGCCGGCTCTGGGCCTTGGCTTTGGTTACGACTCCGGCTCCGGCTCCAGGTCCAACTTGTACCCGTGGCTGGCTGTTTGGCTCCCCTGCACTTGCACGTATTTACGTTGCGATTTTTATTTCCTGTAATTTTTACGATATTACTTATTTTTATGCACCGCACGACGCACCACCGCTGTGGGGTTTGGGTGGCGCGTGGGTCAACGGGGGCTGCGTTTAGCTTTCGTTTTGCTTTTTATGGCCCGTTGTTGAAGTACCACATTATTGGTTTTTCAAAAAATGCGAGCTGCCTCGTAAAAGAAATTAAAATAAAAGCTGAATAACCGGTGGGGGGGGGGGGGGGGGGGGGCTGCCCCAGAACGCGGCATGTTGACAGCACAGCGCCCGACTTTAAAGTTGCCCCACAGAGTCAGCTTAAGCCAAAGCAATAAAAAAAAAATAAATAAAAAATAACAACAAAATTAGAAAATAGAAACAAACATCAAATGTACATTCAGTTGGAATTGAAGCGCATGTGTGGCTTATTTTCATTGTTGTTATTACGTATTGTTTTTACAGTTGGTTGGCTTATTTATTCGGTGGCATTTGGTATTATTTAATTTCAATATTTATGCAGCTTGTCTGGCGTGACTACGCCGCATTATAATTACCCGCACACACTAGCCCAGACCCGCACACCACAACCGAGCCCAATCCAAAGACCAAAACATCTCCAACACATATTTCCATTTAATAGCTGCGAATCGACTCAATATTTTGTTATGCCCCAGGCGCTTGCTGTAATGTCTATGCCAGTTACTATCTGGTAAATAATATATGCTAAATGGTAAATGGTATATAGTTTATGGGGGCATGCAACGAGCCGTACGTGCGACCTCGTTATGAAGCTTGTGTTTGCTTTTCTTACTGAAAGACCAAACATAATCGTAATCTATTGTGCTTGAACAGAATTTTGTTAGCAAATAAACTAAAAATGCTGTGCAAGTTTAACCAAGCTCGCACATATCGAAACTTAGCACAAAATTCTTCATTCAAGAAGGAAGTTTCTAAATACAAGTCAAATAAAAGAACGACTCGCAGCTGTCAACCAACGAAGTGTCTTTTCAAGTTGTCTTTCTACGTTTTACGCTTATTTTAAGAGTACAAATTCCTAAAAAAAAGTATTTTGTGTTCAACCTAAGCACTTGTTCTCTTTTTCTTTCCACATTTCTTAAAATATTTTTGGGAACATCACATTTTTTCTAATGTGAAAAGGAGGCCTGTACGTTTTCCCATAAGAAAATACTTTGTTCATATTTGCCAAAAATGTGTCATTTTCAACAAATTTTGGAGTTCGTCCCGAATAATACCTGTGTTTTTGCAATGGTTTATCGAGTTCTGTGTCGATGTTATGAAAAGTTTAAAGATATATATAATGCCGCAAAGAGTCCATTGAATGGAACCCCTATTTCGAGGTCGTTTCATTTGACCTTTAGAAGAAAAATCAAACCGAT